ACGTCCGGATTAATCGGATTTTGTTCCTTTGGGGCGCCGATGGATTCGCCCGTGTCCGGCTTTGTCAGATGGGTCGTGCGTGTGCCCACCGCGCGGCCGCACCCCAAATCGTGTCCGGGGTGGACGTGGATAAAAAAATTATAAAAACTAGAATGAAATAACTAAAAAAGTAAATAAACGCATTTAAAAAAACATAAAACATATATATGGGTTGGCCACATAACGGCCCAGTTTCCACGGCCACTTAAAATGCCCAGTTTCATAATTAACATATAAAAAATAATAAAAAAACGCCTCCCGCGCGCTCCTGCCGTGCCCGTCGGTGCCGTGGCCGTCGCCGTCTTCACTGGCCGCCGGTGTCGTGTCCACAGGTGGGCCGGCGGTGCGTGGTAGACGGGGGCGGGCTGGACGACCGGAGGTGCCTGCACCACCTCCTCCCGGGGCGACGCCTCCCGCTCCGGTGACTGCGGCGGAGTGGGGCACCAGTTCACGCCCACGCGGCGGCCATCTCCGGAGCAGTGCAGGACCAGCCCCACCCCTGGCCCAGCAGCTGCTGGAATGCGGCCGGCATCGCCTCCTCCGTCGCCTCCTCCGTGACGGCCGCCATCTGCAGCTCCGGGAAGGCGACGTCCCCGGCAGCAGAGAGGGCCATGGTCTTCTCCAGGCCGTTCCACTGCCGCTCGTCGTGCGTGTTCATGGAGTCATCCATGACATGCTGCAGGAGACGGGCCTCCTCCTCCGCTGTCATGCGAGGAGGGGGAGGTGGCGACGGAGAGGGGGAAGGCGACGACGTGGGCGTCAGGCCGCGCACCCAGGTACGCCCCCGCTCCTGTCGTGGCCGCCGCGGCCCCGTCGAGGTGCCGGCGAAGAACGATGCGCGCCTGGTGCCGTGCTCGTCACAAAACCAGGTGTCCCAGAGTCCGGAGTCGGGGGCGTACCTGGGGTCGTAGAAGAGGTCGTCGGGGAGGCGGCGGTGACGCTCAATCTCCTTGTCGCGCGCACGGCCGCTCGTCGGGACCGGCGGGATCGGGACTCGGTCGGCGGAGAGATGCCAGTTATTGGGGAGATGGACGTCGCTCCAGGGGAGCGGCGTCCTCGTCTCCCAATAACGGCGGCACACCGACGAGCGGACGTAATGCCGGCCGCGCTCGCCGGCGAAGGTGGGCGCGATGGAGAAGGCGGGCGGTGCGGGGGCCCGGTGTGCTGGCGATGGCGAGCCGCGGCGGCGTCCCGACAAGGAACTAGCCTCGCGGTTGTGCATGCCTTTGCGGCCCATGGCGGCGGGCGGCCGGCCGGCGAGGTGTTGGCTAGGGTTTGGGACTGGGGCTGTCGGGTTTCGAGGAGGCTGCGGGATGGCGTGAGACAGTGTGGACGACTACCCGTCCACGCTTCCCACTTAAAAAAGGACAGCGACCGTTTGACGTGCGGATGACAAGTGGGGCCGCCCGCTCGTGTGCATTGATGTGGGCGGGTGGGAGGTAGGTGGCCGCCTGCCACGCGGCCCTGACGCGGACGAGGCGCGCGTCCGTTTCTTGTCCGTCGCGACCTAAACCCGGCGCAAGTTTGCGCTCGAAATGTATCGGCACGGACACAAAACGGACAAGACGGGTTTGGGCCACTGCGCGCTGGGCCGCCTCCTTTGTCCATTTTACCACAAACTGATGGGACCGGACAGGATAGGGTCACACGGTGGTGGTGGAGTTGGCCTTACGTCTGCAAATAGCCACGTGCATTGTTGGGGGCCGCCTGCCCGATGGACCCGGGAGGGAGGGGCTCCTCTCCTCTGCGCGGGCATGTGGCCGTGGCGGTCAAGAGCTGACTCGGAGCACCACATGCATGCGCGGAACACGGGCCTGCACCTGGACGGCCACTGTGACAACGTTTGCCGTGTCCTATTTACACGTCGCTTTTACCATGCTCCCACCCGCCCAGCTCCAAGTCTGCAATCATCCACGACCGTGCCGACGCATCCAGCAAATCCCAAGCCATATTACGGACGTCGACCGCGACGCGTCCACACAACTGTCCCTGTTTGATCGTACACGTCCAACAACACGGCGTACGCAGGCGCGCATACGCTGTGCATGTGACAACAACATACATTTGAAACGGATGGTTGGACGCCTACGAGTGATCGATCGAGCACCCTCGCCCACCGATCGCCGCGCAGGCAGCACCGCACGGCCGCGTCGGCACCGCCTCGTCCTGTTGCGACCTGTGAGGATGCTCTGGTCAATGACTGGACGTGCGCCGCAGTGGAACGTACACGCGCCTGGCCGTCCCCATGCCGCCGCGCTCTCCGCTCCCAGGCGCCTCCAGCCGCGGCATCCCTCATCCCGGGATGTCCTTGGCGCCGAGCGTGGGCGCTGCGCGCCGTGACGCGCCACGCCGGCCACCGAGCAGGCCGAGGCCACCACGAGAGCACCGCTAGTACTGGCACTGCACACGACGCAGAGGGGGAGATGGGCACAAATGGCTGGCGTGCGCGCGCAGGTACACGAGGCGAGCGCGAGCGGGCGGGATGGGTATGCCCTGCTCTGGTGGTTGGGGCTCGGGATCACGGGGCGTGGTGGCAAACGGTGTGGCCACGGCACACACACGGCCGCGGTGACCGTGCATGCAAATGTGCTTTGGGTCGTTGGTTCAGCACAGCGTGGTGGGCCGCCTGTGCCGCCACTAATGAATCGCCTCCGACCTCTCTCTTTTCCTCCTTTTAATCCGCCCCGCTTTGCACAAAGGCGCTGCATCCTCTCTGGTGTTTGTCGTCAGCGGCCGGGGAAGGGATCGGTGGGCGCAAGCGTGCGTGCGTGCGTGCTGTTTCGGGTGCATCTTCGCGATGCGAATGTGCATCCATCTTCGTCCGATCCATCCTCGTATGTCCGTCCACTGACGCCTTTGCCTTTCCCTTGCACTGCCTGCCGCTACACACGCCTACACCATGCCTACATCGGTGCAACGTAGCCTGACCTCGACCTGCATTTCCAGGCTCGCTCGGCCACGACGAGTGAATTCAATTCAATGCGCTTGCATAATGACGACATACGCTCTCTCTAGGCTCCTGTGCCACCGTTTAGACACACAGAGGAGGAATGCGGCGACGGATGGTCTCTACAACCTACCGCGCTCTGCTCGCTGGGTCACTCTCGTTCGTCCCATGTGCCCTCGTCCAGAGGCCTCGCCGTACCGAAAGATGCCTTTCTCTTTCTCTTTCTCTTCCTCTTTTCTTTTCTTTCGTTCCCGTTGCATCAAAACGGCCGGTAACCAACCAGTCAGTCAGGCTTCCCAGTGTGGAAGTAGCAGCAGCGAGAGCGAGGCGTCTGTGTAAGAGGCAGCAGAGCCGCTGCCGCTTTCGCTCGCCACTTTCTTTTGTTGGAACGGGACGAAAGCGGGTTCCGGCGCCAAACACTCAAAAAAAAAATGAAACTTCATGGGCACTAGCACCCACGGTTTATTGATATAGAAGAAGCATCCCTCATGAGAATTTCAGAAATTCGTCCCCGACGTGGATCGAACTCTGGTCGTTAGGTTTACAATCATGCGCCCCCAACCACTGGGCTATGCTCACGTCCTCGGCGCCAAACACTCAACGAGCACCGCATGGCCATGGCCTCCATTGCTTGCTGGATGCAACCAAGCTTAGCTCCTAAGCTACACCTACGAGCACAGCAGCAGTAGTACGTTGCAGCCTCGTGGCTGCGTCTTATCTTGGCTACACCCGGAATATCCATGCGTGACACGCTTACAATTACTATAGTTGCCAGTAATCATGTTTTTAGCAGGCACAACACAGCACAACACACGCAGTTGTGAAGCTCCTTTTGATAAACGGACAGAGTGTGTACTCGCTCTGTGACGGAAAGACGAGCCCGGTGTCAGTGGCTCGCCGTGGCAGAGCTGGCCACGTCCATCTAGGTCATCAACATCGCGCAGGCACGGGGAGGGAGGCCACCATGGCATGCATCGCATGATGAGCTGCCATGTTTGTACCATTGCTAGCGCCACTACTCCGCGCTGTCCCACACACACACGCGCCTACAGTGGGTGGGACTCTTCTCTTTTCTTCCCTCTCCCTCCCTCCGCCCTCTCTCACTCTCTCCGTCCAAGCAGTTTCGCTCGCTCGGTAGAGATTATAATATCACGATGGGCCAAAAGCTCCAGTGAGCCGCTGCCCCCACCGGCCGACGCTCCTCCCGAGAACCTCGCCAAGGAATCCTAGAATCCAAGAAACCCACCAGCAAAACACAGGCCAGCCAGGTCCGTCCGTGGTGGTGGTGGAGGGAAGGGAAGAAGACCAGTGAAGACCACGCAAGGCACAGGCGCATTTGCGTGCGCCCGTCCTCGCGTGCTGTCTTCTCCTTCCTCCTCCGACCGCCGCCTTCCCGGACAGTGATGGCGCGGCGGCAGGCGGCTGCGGCCCTGCTGTGCCTGGCCGTCCTGGCGACGGCGGCGGCGGCGTCCGTGCTGGCGGCCGCGGTCACCTACGACCGGAAGGCGGTGCTCATCGGCGGGCAGAGGCGGATCCTCTTCTCCGGATCCATACATTACCCCCGGAGCACCCCAGAGGTAGCCCCCAGCTGCGTTCTTCGGAGACCGTCTCCTTTTCCTTTCCTTTTCTTGCTTTTTCCGGGGAAGGGGACGGGGGTTTCGTGTGTGGCTGGTTAATGGCGCGGTTCCCGGTTTCTTGCTTGGTAGAGCTGCCATGAAAGAAAAGTGAAATGCCGCTTGCTTGCCCGTACGTTTCCCCCTCTTTGCTTTGCGCTCAATGCTTTCAAGCGACAGATATCGACATTTCCCTATCCTTGCGGGCTCCTTTTTTTGTAGATTTTCTTGAAATGCTGCTCGTTTTGCTTGCTCCTGCGACCATTTTTGGGGCATTTTGCTTCCCCAGCACCGCTAATAATCTACAGTAGCTTGTTACTAGATTTTCGTTCACATATTTCCGAATCTCTGGCTGATTGACCGACCACTGACTGCCCATTGACGCTGCTCCTGTCCATCAGATGTGGGAAGGGCTGATTCAGAAGGCGAAAGACGGAGGCTTGGACGTGATCCAGACCTACGTCTTCTGGAACGGCCACGAACCAACCCCCGGAAACGTACTGCATCCACACTTATCATCACCTACCATTCAGACATTCAGTGTGAGCTGCTACTATAAGAGGTGTGGAATTCCAGTGGTAATTTTCTCGCTTGGTGCAGTACAACTTCGAGGGGAGGTACGATTTGGTCAAGTTCATTAAGACGGCCCAGAAGGCCGGGCTGTTCGTGCATCTCCGCATCGGTCCCTACATTTGCGGGGAGTGGAATTTTGGGTATGCACATTTACTCCTCGCCACCACTTGTTAAGATGAATCACCAGCACAGTAGAAATGGCACTATTTACTGGCATTGTGCTGCTGCTTCCAGTTTGGTGAATGCGTGTGATTTGCTTTTGTTTGTCACTCACTTCACTTGACTTGTGTCTGTTCACATGCAATTTATGCAGCGGCTTTCCGGTCTGGCTCAAGTATGTTCCGGGCATCAGCTTCAGGACGGACAACGAGCCTTTCAAGGTCCGTGGGAGTCCACAATTTCTGGATCTTGTCTGGGATGCAGGTCTTCTTTTGCTTAGGTTTGTGGCAATGACCCTTTGTTTTTGCAGGCGGCAATGCAGGGGTTCACTGAGAAGATTGTGGGGATGATGAAGAGCGAGGAGCTCTTTGCTTCCCAAGGTGGCCCTATTATCCTTTCTCAGGCAAGTGTGTATAAACATTCTCTTCGAGCTAAATGCAAATCTTTGACATGGCATGGTTGTTTACTGCATGTTGAGATAGTTGCCAACTTGCCATTGTACATAACGCTGAAATAAATAAATTTTCTTCCATGACACGCGAAACTGCTCATTCATTTGTTGCAAGTGCTCTGCTTATTGTTGCCTTCTTTTCTTGCTTGAAGTTAGTGATTCAGCATTTGTCAACATGGTTTGTCTTAATCTGCGTATTTTCCCTGGTTGCTCATGGTGTTGGCTGTTGTTATTTGGATTGCAGATTGAGAATGAGTATGGGCCAGAAGAGAAAGAGTTTGGGGCTGCTGGCAAGTCATACAGTGACTGGGCGGCAAAGATGGCCGTGGGATTGGACACCGGTGTGCCGTGGGTGATGTGCAAGCAGGAAGACGCACCAGATCCAGTGGTATGTTGATCTTGTCCCATGCCGAATTAAAAGGATCATGGCGCAAATGTAGCAAACTGATGATTATTTGACATCTTAGATTCTTAAGGGTATTTTTCTTTTTCTTTTTTGCTCATGTAAGTTCACGTGTTTATTTCTGTGAGCTCAGTGCAGGTTATATCCATAAGGCATTCCATTTAGTGTTTTAGGTTTCTAAAATACCGGTTCCAGTTCGTATACAGAATATAGACTCGTTTTACAACTATAATCAAATCAGTTTGTATGCTACATCTTGTCGAACTTGTTGAACTAGTAGTTCAAATTACATTTAATTGTCCTTTGTACAGATAAACGCATGCAATGGTTTCTACTGTGATGCATTTACACCGAATGCGCCTTCCAAGCCTACGATGTGGACTGAAGCTTGGACTGGTTGGTAAGTTCTCTTTCGAGGGAAATATCCAATCTACTGTGAAAAGTATACAGCTACAGTTTTCATTGATGCAGTTCACATGTTCATCATTTAGATTCTGTTGATCCTAGTGTTTCTTTGTACAATTGCATTAATATGAACAATAATGTAGGTTTACTGAATTTGGTGGGACCATCCGTAAACGACCAGTTGAAGATCTTTCATTTGCTGTTGCTCGCTTCGTGCAGAAGGGTGGTTCTTTTATCAACTACTACATGGTATGACAGAAAACAAGTTGTAGATATGCTTATTACCATTCGTAAGTTTTCTTGAAGCTTCCTGCGGGGAGATATTCACGTTTTTTCTTCTGAACAAAGTATCATGGTGGAACAAATTTTGGGCGCACCGCTGGGGGTCCCTTCATTACAACAAGCTATGATTATGACGCTCCACTTGATGAATATGGTAAGTTTAGAAATATAGTGTTGCTGTCAGTATGGTCACTATCTGTATCTATTATTTGTCTATTTTGAGCATGGTGGTGACTTTTGACATATAAATAATTGAATTTTTGCTAAATGGGCTAGATAATTCTTACCCAAACTCTGCTTTGTTATTAACCAGGACTTGCAAGAGAACCAAAGTATGGACATCTTAAAGAACTTCATAGAGCTATTAAGTTATGTGAGCCGGCATTGGTTTCTGTTGATCCAACTGTGACTTCCCTTGGAAGTATGCAAGAGGTTTGTCTTGATTACCTTTTCCCATCACTGAAGTGCATATATCCCATATGGCTTGATCTGTCACTTACATCTACAACCTATAATTCAGGCCCATGTCTACCGATCTCCATCTGGTTGTGCAGCTTTTCTCGCAAACTATAATTCTAACTCTCATGCGAAAGTTGTCTTCGACAATGAGCATTACAGTCTACCACCTTGGTCAATCAGCATCCTTCCTGATTGCAAAACAGTTGTTTATAATACTGCAACAGTAAGTTCCACTTGTGCTTATGAGTATGGTATTACGTCGTTCTCCGGTCTTGTTATTTCAATCCATTATATGTGGAGGTTGTTTAGCTGGTCCAAAATGCTATTATCTCCACAGGTTGGTGTTCAGACATCTCAAATGCAAATGTGGTCCGATGGGGCCTCTTCAATGATGTGGGAGAGGTATGATGAGGAGGTTGGTTCACTGGCAGCTGCTCCATTGCTCACCACAACTGGTCTACTGGAACAGCTTAACGTCACAAGAGACACCAGTGATTATCTTTGGTACATGACCAGGTAATTGCCACACGAATAAGTTACAGGCCTCTAAATCCAACTTCATTGGAGTTTGATCTGTTTGTAAAACTTTCTTCGTTTTCTGTTTATGAAAAAGCGAGGTTCATGTCTTTCATGCTTTTTGTTTTAGAAAAGGAGGATTATCACTGGCCTCTGCATCCTTTCATGCTGAAACATAATATGCTTAAAATGATTATTGTAGTGTGGATGTAAGCCCCTCTGAGAAGTTTCTACAAGGTGGCAAGCCTTTGTCTCTCTCTGTGCAATCTGCTGGCCATGCCTTGCATATCTTTATCAATGGACAGCTACAAGGTTTTCCACTTGAAACTGCTCTCTTGTCTATACAACACCAGCACTGTGGAAACTGAATAGTGAATAAAATAATTTTTGTTCTGGTGTAGGTTCTGCTTCTGGAACCAGGGAAGATAAAAGAATCTCATACAAGGGCAATGTTAACCTTCGTGCCGGTACTAACAAAATTTCACTGCTGAGTGTTGCTTGCGGGCTGCCGGTTCGTTCCCTCATCGCTGCATGAATTTATAAACTTACAGCTAATGATCTTGCATATATGACTGAACTATTCTTGTCCCTGTAGAATATCGGGGTTCATTACGAGACATGGAATACTGGTGTCAATGGTCCTGTTGTGCTTCATGGTTTGGACGAAGGTTCGCGAGATCTGACCTGGCAGACATGGACCTATCAGGTGAGTGCAGCATCTAGTAACTTTGTTGTTGACTAATTTATGTTCAAGTAAGAAAGAAGGTAAATAAATGTACCTTATCCATTCTAGGTTGGTCTGAAAGGTGAACAAATGAACCTGAACTCCTTAGAAGGTGCAAGTTCAGTTGAATGGATGCAAGGATCATTGATAGCACAAAACCAAATGCCATTGGCATGGTATAGGGTAAGGAAAAAAATCAATCTATGATAGGAACCCTTTAGCGGTATAATATTTTCAGTCCCACTCTTACAACTGCTTGTTTTAATAGGCATACTTTGATACTCCAAGTGGTGATGAACCTCTGGCTCTGGATATGGGTAGCATGGGTAAGGGACAAATCTGGATAAACGGACAAAGCATTGGACGGTACTCATTAGCATATGCAACTGGGGACTGCAAAGATTACAGTTACACTGGGTCATTCCGGGCAACCAAATGTCAAGCAGGTTGCGGTCAGCCGACACAACGCTGGTAAGACCATTTACCACAACATTTGAATGAGATAATCAGCCCGCTGCCTCGTCTTTTTTTAGTATCCAAAATCATACTGCTTGATACTTGTCTTCCTTCACCATTAAAACTGGAGCATTCACTTCCAATTATTTTTTGTTTTTTGCCCTCGTTAGTAAAGTATTGTTGCTACTGCATTGACTAAATTGTTCAAACTGATATATTCAGGTATCATGTGCCAAAATCCTGGTTGCAGCCATCTAGAAATCTGTTAGTTGTTTTCGAGGAACTTGGCGGGGATACTTCGAAGATTTCGCTTGTGAAGAGATCAGTGTCAAGCGTCTGTGCTGATGTATCAGAGTTTCATCCAAGTATCAAGAACTGGCAGACTGAGAGCTCAGGGGAAGCTAAGCCTGAGTTACACAGGTCGAAGGTGCATCTAAGATGCGCGCCTGGGCAGTCTATTTCTGCCATCAAATTTGCAAGCTTCGGGACGCCCTCTGGGACTTGCGGAAGTTTCGAGCAAGGGGAGTGCCATTCGACCAAGTCACAGACTGTTCTTGAGGTCAGTTAATTTCTTTCAGTAGTTTTAGACCGCTTGAATTCTCTGCACCGGAGTGCTACAGAATGCCCATGTTCACATTGTTATGCTACTTGCTGATGTTTCTTGTGTTCATTTGAACAGAAATGCATTGGGAAGCAAAGGTGCGCCGTCGCCATCTCCCCCGACAACTTCGGTGGAGACCCCTGCCCGGATGTGATGAAGAGGGTGGCGGTCGAGGCGGTATGTTCTCCCGGTACATAGGCGACTCTTCCGACTAGACTAATTTAAGGACGGCGCAGCAGCCTTGTGTGTGACCGATCAAGCACATGGGAAGTGATGTGGGGAGGTGAGAGTTCAACTGTAAAGTACTACCGACTCGATGTAGACGTGGCGCTGGAGGATTAGAATTCCATCTCTAGCATTGTGATTCAGATTAGGATTGGTGCTCTACCCTGCATCTCCATGAATTGTTCAAAAGCGACCAGCTGGTAATTTGTGGTTGGTCCTAGATGGAGTGTAGGGAGAGTAGAGGCAAAAGATCGATGCATTCTTTTGCTCGTGTCGTCGCTATGTTTTGGCTGTGTCACTGCCATCTTTCTTGAAGAAGAGAAGATGCTGTATCCTTACTTTTGAAATACTTGCTTTTAATTGTGCATGCTGTGAGCATGAATATGCTGATGATCACTTGCTCTTGGTTCTTGAGTCGTGTTTTGCTGGTGATTTTGTGCTCGAAGAGCCTGAAATCTGAAGAAAACTTCATTGTCATGTGAAAACAAAGAAGCAAATGGCAGGAAACATGGTAAATAATCGACATGACAGTTTCCTCTCTGAACAAACATGAATGGGATTTTGGTCTGCCTTTTCTTTCAAAAAAAAAGAAAGAGAACAAACATGAATGGGATTTTGGTCTGCCTTTTCTTTCAAAAAAAAGAAAGAGAACAAACATGAATGGGATTTTGGTTCTGCCTTTTCTTTCAAAAAAAAAAGAAAGAGAACAAACATGAATGGTGGCTCAGTCTTAAAGACAGTGGACTGGCTGCCTACTGGTCCTCGCTGATAACCTTTGCAGAGGCCGGTGCCAGACAGCTCCATGCCCGACAGAGCATTATCCTGAAAACCATAGAGGTGGACCTAATAATGAAGCCGAGTTATTGACAGGCAAAGTATGTAGGCGTGCACTAGCATAGCTGGAGCTCGAGCTCGAAGAAGAATTCTCTATATGGAGGAACGTCGTACCCATCGTGGGCGACGGTTGCGTGTTTATATCGCCAGGTCGCGACCTCCTAGTATAGCGTACAAGTTGGTTCAGATTACAACTTGAAGAAGAAGAGATAAGAGATGTTACAAAGATAAACGCATACGAGCTAGATCCTAGTCTATCTTCGGTTGGAGTCCTGGGCGATGGTTATCTTCAGGACTCTGAATCTCTGTCACGTACAGCACTAGGCGTTGCCATATTACGTTCAACATTCTCTCTTAATCACAACTTGGTCAAGTTGAGATTACGCTTGAACTCTTCAAAATTTTGTGTGGGCAAAGCTTTGGTGAATCCATCTGCAACCTGATCACGAGAATGAATGAACCGAATTTCCAACTGCTTGTTTGCAACTCGTTCTCTAACAAAGTGGAAATCAATCTTAATATGTTTCGTCCTTGCATGAAACACAGGGTTAGCAGACAGGTAAGTAGCACCAAGATTATCACACCATAAACATGGAGCTTGGGTAGTCTTCACACCAAGCTCTCGTAGCATGGACTGGACCCAAATAATTTCAGCTGTGGCATTGGCCAAAGCCTTGTACTCAGCTTCAGTACTGGATCTTGATACAGTGGCTTGTTTCTTTGCACACCATGATATTAAGTTTGGACCAAAGAATACTGCAAAACCACCAGTAGATCGTCTGTCATCTAAACACCCTGCCCAGTCAGAATCAGAGAATGCACTAACAAGTGTAGATGAAGACTTGTTGAAAGTGAGGCCTAGATTAACTGTGTCCTTCACATATCTCACTATGCGTTTAGCAGTTGTCCAATGAGTTATAGTGGGTGCATGAAGAAACTGACAAACCTTGTTTACTGCAAATGAAAGATCAGGTCTTGTCAAAGTCAGATACTGAAGTGCACCTACCAAGCTCCTGTACCTGGTACTGTCATCTTGACCCAAGGGCTTTCCTTCTGTAAGTGACAATTTTTCTATGCTGGACAGTGGAGTTGGTGAGGATTTACATCCTTGTAACCCAACTCTTCTTACCAGATCAGTGGCATACTTTTCCTGAGAAAGATGAAGACTATTTCCTTGTTTCTTGACTTCAATCCCTAGGAAGAAGTGCAAGTCACCCAGATCCTTGAGAGCAAACTCAGCACTTAAATCCTTCAACATTCCTGATATAGCCTCATTAGATGAGCTTGTGACAATAATATCATCAACATATATAAGAACGAATATTGTTGTTTTCAACTTGTTGTAAATGAACAAGGATGTGTCAGACTTAGAAGGAACAAAACCAAGAGTTTGCAATTTGTGGCTTAATCTGGAATACCATGCCCTAGGAGCTTGTTTAAGTCCATATAATGCTTTATCAAGCTTGCACACATGGAACGGCTTATTCTTGTTTTCAAAACCAGGAGGTTGTTTCATATATACTTCCTCTTCCAGAACACCATGAAGAAACGCATTCTTGACATCTAGCTGGCGAAGGCTCCATCCCCTGGAAACAGCAATAGAGAGCACAAGACGAATAGTTGCAGCTTTAACAACTGGACTAAAGGTGTCCTCATAGTCTATACCGTACCGTTGTTTAAAACCCTTTGCAACTAGTCTGGCTTTGTAGCGATCAATGGTTCCATCAGCCTTCTTTTTAATTCTAAATACCCACTTGCAATCAATCAAATTTTTACCGTGTCGTGGCGGAACCAGATGCCACGTTTTGTTTTTGAGAAGTGCCATGTGTTCTTCCTCCATGGCTGCCTTCCAATTTTTGTCGCTGAGTGCCTCGCCAAGAGTACTTGGTTCATCTGTGGAGCACATTAAACTGAACTTTGTCAGTTGTTTGTAATTAACTGGTTTTATTACCCCTTTTTGGAGACGTGTCCGTGGAACAGCAGCAGCCGGTGGTGATGCAGAAAATCCTGGGACGGCGGTGTCAGAAGATCCTGTGAGAATCCCCGCCTCGCTGCCAGCAGGATCCTCTGTGCCAACGCGGTTTGGAGACGGTGGAGACGCGGCGGAATCAGGCGCAAAGAATCCTGTGCCGTGGGAGACATCCAGCACAGACCCATCATGGCGCAATGCTGAGGCGAATCCAGGCGGGCCCGCGCCGGATCGCGCGCCAGCGGCAGAGGCTGACAGGGCCGGATCTGCGGTGGGACCAGCGCCTACACCTGGCTCCTGGCGGTCCTGGCGGTCCCCGCCTGTGGGCTGGCGGCGGACGTAGTGGCGGGGCCCATCATGAGCCCAGCGAATCTCGGGCTGCCGTGTGGGGGCATCCGAGTGGTGGAGGCGGGCCGAATCGCCCTGGCCCGTGGCGAGGCGCCGAGTGGCAAGCGCGGGGCCACTGCGCGGCTGGCTGGCGGGCTACGTGGGTTTCCGCGTGGCGCTGCTCCCGGGCGACCCTGATCCCGAGGAGGATCCGCTGTCAGGCTGCGGTGGAGTTGATCCCGAGGAGGATTTGTCCCCCAGCCCTGGACACATGAAATATGGCGTTGTAGGCAGATTTTCTTCGCCATTTTGAGCGTGTCCTGCACCGTTTTCTGCGCTGTTCTCATCTGCATCATCATAGAACTCATGCACTTGGTTATGAACATTAGTCAATATTGGATCACCACAATCATTATCCCCATGAGAGATGCCGGTAAGACTAGAGGGTAGAAGAAGAATTTCTTTGCGAAGTAGTGCCCCGGCATTTGGGTGGAGTTCAGAGAAAGGAAATTTTGTCTCATAAAAAATGACATCACGAGAGATATAAACTCGACCAGTGGAGATGTCTAGGCACTTAACACCTTTATGTTGGGCACTATAGCCAAGAAAAGCACATTGCTTGGAGCGAAACATGAGCTTGCGAGTGTTATATGGGCGAAGATTTGGCCAGCAAGCGCAACCAAACACACGAAGAGTTGTGTAGTCGGGTTTGATGTGGAGGAGACGCTCAATAGGAGTTTCATAGTTGATGACACGGCTAGGTAGCATATTTATGATATGTACCGCAGCAAGAAAAGCCTCGTCCCAAAACTTTAGGGGCATGGAGGCGCCGGCTAGTAAGGCAAGACCGACTTCAACGATGTGTCTGTGTTTGCGTTCAGCAGACCCATTCTGTTGATGGGCGTGAGGACATGACACGTGATGAGAGATGCCAATTTTCTGAAAGAACGAGTTTAACTTCTCATACTCCCCTCCCCAATCAGATTGGAGAGCCAGGATTTTGCAATCAAATTGGCGCTCAACAAGAGCTTGAAAATTCAGAAACACTTGAAACACATCCGACCTTTTTTTAAGAAGGTAAATCCATAAAAACTTGCTATAGTCATCTATGAAACTCACATAATATGTGTGTCTACCAACAGAGGAAGGGGCAGGCCCCCACACATCAGAGAAAACAAGTTGTAGAGGCTTGGTAGAAACACTGGTAGAAATTGGATAAGGTAGCTGATGGCTTTTAGCCTTTTGACAGGAATCACAAATTTTCTCAACATCACGCTCTCCAACATACGGGAGCTTATTTTTCTTAAGTAATATCTCAACTAAGGAAAAAGATGCATGTCCTAAACGATCGTGCCATCGTGTTGAAGACACTTTGGTGGCACTAAAAACTTGTTTATTGAACCTTCTAATTTCTGGAATCAAGGGGTAAAGCCCACGAACGCATCTACCTCGATATAGCACCTTCTTCGTTGCCTGATCCTTGATCAAAAAGAAGTAAGGGTGAAACTCAAGAAAGACATGATTGTCAATGGCAATGCGATGAACGGAAAGAAGGCTTTTTGAAGCACTAGGGACATGCAAAATTTTCCTAAGATGAATTTTTCGATGAGGGGTTTTAATAATTGAGTGACCAACATGACTAATTTTCGTACCTTCTCCACTTGCTGTGTGGATGTGATCTTTGCCACGGTACTTGTCGCGCATGGTCACCTTCTCCAGCTCACCGGTGATGTGGTTTGTGGCACCGCTGTCGACCTACCAATTGGTGTCGACGCCGTAGGAGCCATCAGCAGCTCCGGCCACCTTCTCATCTTGTGAGGAATCATCTTCGTCTTCTTCAAAACGGTACCAACAATCTTTTGCCGAGTGTCCCGGCTTGCCACAGATTTGGCACCTGATTGCATCAGGGCGTGATCTGTTGTTGGAGGAGTTGCCGCGCCGGCCTCGATTGTTGGAGGAGAAAGGCCGGCCGCCGCGTGTGTTGTTGGCGTCGCTGCTGTTTCCGTTGCCGGAGCCCCGGCCCTTGCCACTCCGAGGTGGGCCGCGGTAGCGGGAGCCTCCGCCCCGGCCGCGCGTGGCAGCGTTCGCTGACGACTTGAAGCCGCCCGTCGCGCCTGCTCCCTGGAATAGAGCCACCCGTTGGTCGAAGTTGCTCATCTGCCCGAACAGCTCGTCGAGAGTGACCGGGGTGGTGCGGGCGTCGAGGGCGGACACCAAGGGCTGGTACTCCATGTCAAGCGCGTTGAGAATATACGAGATTAACTCATCATCCTTCAACGGCTTGCCAGCCGCGGCGAGCTCGTCGGCGAGTCCCCGCATGTACGCGAAGAAGGTGGCCACCGATTGCGTTCCTTTCTGCGCATTGGTGAGGGCGGCGCGGATGTTGTTGACACGGGACAGCGACGTGGACGAGAACATGCTCGCCAGCGCCGTCCAGAGTTCGCGTGCGTGCGCGATGGAGGTGACCTGCACTAGCACCTCTTTGGATAGGTTATTCAAGAGATAACCAAGTACCTGCTGATCCTCGCGGAACCAGACGGCATGGAGTGGGTTGGGGATGGTTGCCTCCTTTCCATCCTTGTCCTTGCCGACGACGAACTCGGCCGGCTCCGCCATGCTTCCGTCGACGTACCCGAAGACTCCAGCTCCTCTCAGCTGCGGCGTGATCTGAGTGCGCCAAAGAACATAGTTGGTGCGGGTAAGGCGCTCGGTGATCTGGCCGGAGAGAGGGGAGGAG